GAAAGAAAGAAAGAAAGAAAGAAAGAAAGAAAGAAAGAAAGAAAGAAGGGAGGGAGGGAGGGAGGGAGGGAGGGAGGGAGGGAAGGAAGGAAGGAAGGAAGGAAGGAAGGAAGGAGAAAGAAAGAAGGAAGGAAGCAAGGAAAGAAAGAAAGAAAGAAAGAAAGAAAGAAAGAAAGAAAGAGAAAGAAAGAAAGAAAGAAAGAAAACCTTAATCAATTTATTTTGCTTATATTTTTCTTTCTAAGTACACACAACAGTGATATTGTATTAGTTAACTGTCATTGCATAACAATACTACCACAAACTCGGCAGCTTAATATATACTTATTTATCATATCACAGTCTCTTTCTGTTGGCCAGGAGGCCCAGCACAACCTAGCAAGGGCCACAGTTGCCCTACTAAGGTCACTGAGGACAAAGGGCCACAGTGTCATACATACTTTATCCCTAGATGCCAAATCTGAGCACAGGAAAGAGCTCAACCCTCATTCAGAACGAGACCTAGGATTTGGACTCCCTAAGTCTCTCTGAATGTAATCCAGTCCCTCCTTTCTCATGCTATGTCTTAGTCTGTTAGGGCTGCCATAACAACATATCTCAGACTGGGTAATTTGTAAACAATAGAAATGTATTGCTTACAGTTCTGGAGGCTGGGAAGTCCAAGATCAAGTTGTATGTAAGTGGACTTGGTGCCTGGTGGGGCCTTCTATGTGTACTTACTCACATGATGGAAAGGGCAAACAGGCTCCCTCAAGCATCTTTTATAAGGGCATTAATCACCTCTGAAACACCCCACCTCCTAATACCATCACATTGCAGGTTAGGTTTTAACATATGAATTTTGGGAAGATACAAACATTCGGATCATAGCACCCTAAGACCCACATTCCTTGGTTAAGTATATCTGAGTTTCCCATTCCCTGACCCCTGCCAATCCCTTTAAGATAACTTTCTTTCAGCAGGGAACAATGGCTGATGCCTGTAATCCCAGAACTTTGGGAGGCTGAGGCAGGTGAATCACCTGAGGTCAGCAGTTCAAGACCAGTCTGGCCAACATGGTGAAACCCTGTCTCTACTAAAAATACAAAACATGAGCCGGATGTGGTGGCGGGCACCTGTAATTCCAGCTACTCTGGAGGCTGAGGCAGGAGAATTGCTTGAACCCTGGAGGCAGAGGTTGTAGTGGACCGAGATTCTGCCACTGCACTCCAACCTGGGCGACACGGCAAGACTCTGTCTCCAAAAAAAAAAAAAAAAAAAAAAGATAACTTTCTTCCATGTTCCATCATCCCCTTCTTCCTTTTGATGAAGTTTAAGATGTACATGGCTATCAGCCACATTTTTCAGCCTTCCTTACAACAAAGGAGTGGCCATAACCAAGATTTAGGCCAACAGAATGTGAGCAGAAGTGATGTTTGCAATGCCTGAGCCATCTCCTATGGCAGAGAATATTCAGTGTTTATCATATGTATTCTCCCTCCCTCTTCAACAAATGCCAAGATATGTTTTGAGCCTCTCTTGCAGTAGGCATGGGCAGAGTTCTGGCCAATAAAATGCAATAAAAAATAACAGGTACTTCCAGGCATGATAGCATGTACCTTTAATTCCAGTTACGCATGAAGCTGAGGCAGGAGAATCACTTGAGCCCAAGAGTTTGAGTCCAGCCTAGGCAACATAATGAGACTTCATCTCAAAAGTAGGGTCATTTCATAATTATAAAATGGTTAATTTGTCAAGAAGATATAACAATCATAAATGTATATGCACCAAGTAAAAGAGCTTCAAAATATATGAAGCAAAATTTGACAAATCTAAAGGGGAAAATATGTAAATCCACAATTAGAGTTAGAGATTTTTAACACGACCCTCTCATTAATTGCTAAAACAAATAAACAGAAAGTCCATAGGGATATACAAGACTTGAATAACAGTGTCAACCAATTTTACCTAATTGATGTCCATAAGATACTCCAAACAACAACCACAATTCTTTCCAACTGTACATACATGCTGGGCCACAAAAGAATCCTCAATAAATTTTAAAGGATTAAAGAGTATCTTATCTGACTAAAATGGAATTGAATTAGAAATCAATAGCAAGATATACAAGAAAACTGGAAATATTTAGAAATTAAGCATATTTATAAATAATCCAGGGTCAAAGAAGAAATCACAATGGAAATTAGAAAAGATTTGGACTCAAAAAAATTTAAAATGCAACATAACAAAAATGTGTAGAATGCGTCTAAAGCAGTACCTAAAGGGAAATTTATAGCTTTAAATGCTTATATATATATAAGACTCTACAATGAATTAGAGTAGTGTAGTGGTTAGAAGCATGCAACCTGAAACCAACTTCTCTGGGTTCAAATTTTGTTTCTGTCACTTAGCTGTGTGATCTTGGACAAATAATTTAAGCTCTCGGTGTCTCAGTTTTCTCATCTTCAGAATGAATATAATAATAGTACTTACCACACAGGGTAAATATGATAATTAAGTTAACTTCTATCTCTTGAGTGGTGTTTGCAATATGAATATAATGTAAACTACATGTGTAATGGTCAGTTTTCTAGTACCCACATTTTAAAAGATAAAATTTATATTCATAATATGTTTTATTTATCCCAATATATTCAAACTATCATATTGTCAACATGTAGCACTAATCCCATTTCAAGTGACTAATGGCTACATGTGGCTAGTGGCTATCAAATTGGATACCAAAGCCCTAAAGTACAGTATTGGGGGACTGAAACAGTTCCTGGCACTTTGGAAATGCTTTCTGTGGTTGTTAAATAAATATCAAGAAAGATTTAAAAATATTTCTGTGAATCAAGAAGATAAAAGACGAAAAACCCTGGGCACATATCCTAGGCATATTACATGAGTGAGAGTTCTGTCCCAAAGGTGATGTGTGCTTAAAAAAGATTTTTTAAAAATCAAACTAAAAAAAGAGAGAGAGAGAGAAAGAGAGTTCTGTCTAGGGAGTGTCCTGAGTCAGCCCAGGCTACTGTAACAAAATACCATAAACTGAATAATTTAATGTTAACAAGCATTTATTTCTCAGAGTTCTGGAGGTTGGAAGTTTGAAATCAGGGTGTCATGAGAGTTGGGTTTTTGGTAAGGGCTCCCTTCCTGGTTTACAGGCAGCTGCCTTCTTGCTCTGTGCTCACATGGTAGAAAGGCAGCAAGCTGCTAAGTGTTTTGGCTCATGTTTGTAATCCCAGCACCTTGGGAGACCAAGCAGGGAGGACTGCTTGATCCCAGGAGTTCAAGACAAGCCTAGGAAACATGATGAGACCCCCATCTCTAAAATAATATTAATAATAATAATAATAATAATAAATTTTAAAAGAAAGAGAGCAAGCTAACTCTTTGGCCTCTCCTTATAAGAGCACACATCCCATTCCTGACCTAATTACCTTCCAAAGTCCCCACCTCCAACAATCATCACATTAGGATTATGGTTTCTGGGGAAAACATTCAGTCCACTACAGGCAATATCTTACAAACTGTAAGTTATAACCCACTAGAGGTTAGTGGAATCAGAAGATCACAATAAGTTTCTTTTCTGAAACATGAAATGGAAAAGAAAATAGCAGAATGCCTGGTACATTGTCAGGGTGAGTTCTGTTTCTAAAACTTTTGTTTCAGAACATGTATATGTGTATATGTGTGTGCATATGTTTATGACCAGGTGTGATGTAAAATGTAGTTTTTGCTGGGAATCTCACTCAAAAAAGTTTTCAAGCCACTGACCAAGGATGTATACGAGAGGAGAATTACTAGGTCTTAGCAAACATACATGTTCAACTTGCCTGTAGAGATTGTCAAATGGCTCTCTGTGGCTGAGACCATGGTATACACTCACCAAATTCTGTTTCCTGTTCCTTCATCAAAGGCGTATGAGAAAATATATTTCTCCATCTGCTTGCAGTGCGATGAGACCACATGACTGGTTCTGGACAAGGAAATATAAGTTGAAGTGGCATATGTCACTTCTAGACTGAGGCAATGAAAATCTCCTAAGAGATTCTCTCATCTCTCTCTTCCCCAACCCTGGCAACATAGAGGCCTTTAAGAGAGATGAAAGAGCTTAGGTTACAGAGTTATCACATGAAGGAGAGCTGCCCTGAAGGGTAGCTGGGATTTACATTGGACTTTGTGTTAATGAGAGATAAACTTTAACTGTGCTGAGATTTTTAGAGTTATTTGTTACTGCACTGTGACTTACTCTATCCTAAATTGTACACTCACTAACATGATTGTATCAATACTCCCATCAGCATTGTATGAGAATTTCCATCTCCCATACTTATTTATTCATTCAGAAAATAGTTATTGGCTGGGCATGGTGGCTCATACCTGCAATCCCAGCACTTTGGGAGGCCAAAGTGGGTGGATAACCTGCAGTCAGGAATTTGAGACCAACCTGGCCAACATGGTGAAATCCCATCTCCACTAACAAAACAAAAATTAGCTGGGCATGGTGGTGGGTGTCTGTAATCTCAGCTACTCAGGAGGCTGAGAGGCAAGAGTATCCCTTGAATCCAGGAGGCTGAGGTTGCAGTGAACCAAGATCGTGCCATTGTACTCCTGCCTGGGAGACAGAGCAAGACTCCATCTCCAAAAAAAAAAAAAAATAGTTATTGATAGCTGGGCATGGTGGCATGCACCTGTAGTCCCAGCTACTCAGGAGGCTGAAGTAGGAGGATCGCTTGCAGTTGAGAGGCAGAGGTTGCAGTGAGCCAAGATTGCACCCCTGCATTCCAGCCTGGGCAACATAGCGAGACACTGGCTCAAAAAAAAATAGTTATTGAGCACTACTAGGTTCCTGGGTCTGTTTTAGGCACTGGAGATACAACAGCAAACCAAGCAGACAGAAAATTGTGACCTCATGGAGTTTATATTTCAATGGAAGAATTAAATTATAAATATAATGAAAAAGAAGATAATATTGTATTTTAGCTGGTGGTCACTGCTATGAAAAACATTAAAGCCATGCAAAGGGAATTGGGAGTGTTGGGTTGCAATTTTCCTTTTTAAATTGTGTTTCTTATTGATATATAACAGATGTACATATTTTCAGGGAGCATGTGGTAACTTAATTCATTTATATAATTTGTAAAGATCAAATCAGGGTAATTAGGATATTCATCACCTTATATATTCATTTTTTCTTTATGCTAAATACATGAATTCTTCTCTTCTAGCTATTTTGAAACGTACAACAGATTACTGCAAACTATACACTCATCTATCAAGCAGCAGATCTTATTTCTTCCATCTTACATGTCTTCCAAATGTGAGGATACATTTGTACCCACTAATCAATCTCTCTTCATTCCCCCTCCACCCAACCCTTCCTGGCTTCTGGTAGGAATCACCTGTCTACTCTTTATCTTCATGAGATCCACTTTTTTAGCACCCACACATGAATAAGACCATACAGCATTTGTCTTTCTGTGCTTGGCTTATTTGCTTAACGTGATGTTGCAAATGTCAGAATGTCATTCTTTTTTATGGCTGAATAATATTCTATTGTTGTATATGTAGCACATTTTCTTTTTTCTTTTGAGATGTAGTCTGTAGTCTCCCTCTGTCACACAGGCTGGAGTGCAGTGGCACGATCTCAGCTCACTGTAACCTCTGCTCAAGCAATTCTTGTGCCTCAACCTCCCAAGTAGCTGGAATTACAGGCAGGAGTCACCACGCCTGGCTAATTTTTGTATTTTTAGTAGAGATGGGGTTTCACCATGTTGTCCAGCCTGGTCTTAAACTGACCTAAAGTGATCCACCTGTCTTGGTCTCCCAAACTGCTAAGATTACAGGCATGAGCCACCACGTCCAGCCATATGCCACATTGTCTTTATCCATTCACTCATTGACGGGCACTCCATATCTTGGTTAGTGTGAATAGTGCTGCAGTAAACATGTGAGTGCAAAGAGAGAGCATTTCCCCAATGTTTTCCTCTGGTAGTTTCATAGTTTCAGATCTTAGATTGGAGTCTTTAATAGATTTTTGTTGAATTCTTGGATACACTGACTTCCTTCCTTTTGGGTATATACATAGCATGGGATTGCTGGGTCATATGGGAGTTCTATTTATAATTTTTTGAGGAACCTCCATACCGTTCTCCAGAGTGGCTATAGGAATTTACATTCCCACCAACAGTATATGAGGGTTCCCCTTTCTCTACATCTTCACCAGCATCCACTTTTTAATAAAAGCCATTTTAATTGGGGCAAGGTGATAGCTCATTGTGGTTTTGATTTGCATTTCTCTGACAATTAGTGATGTTGAGCATTTTTGTATATACCCCTTAGCCATTTGAATGTCTTCTTTTAAGAAATGTCTATTGCGATCCTTTGCCCACTCTATTAGTCAGGGTTCTCTAGAGGGACAGAGCTAATAGGATAGAGGTACATATGAAGGGTAGTGTATTAAGGAGTATTGACTCACATGATCACAAGGTGAAGTCCTGTAATGGCCATCTGCAAGCTGAGGAGGAAGGAAGCCAGTGTGAGTCCCAAAACCTCAAAAGTAGGGAAGCTGGCTGGGTGCGGTGGCTCACGTCTAATCCCAGCACTTTGGGAGGCCAAGGCAGGGGATCACCTGAGGTCAGGAGTTCGAGACCAGCCTGGCCAACATGGTGAAACCCTGCTTCCACTAAAAATACAAAAATTACTGAAGCGTGGTGGCACATGACTGTAATCCCACATACTCAGGAAGCTGAGGCAGGAGAATCCCTTGAACCCGGGAGGCAGAGGTTGTAGTGAGCCAAGATGGTGCCACTGCACTCCAGCCTGGGTGACAGAATGAAACTTCATCTCAGAAAAAAAAAAAAAAAAAGGCCGGGCATGGTGGCTGACACCTATAATTCCAGCACTTTGGGAGGCTGAGGCAGGTGGATCACAAGGTCAGGAGTTCGAGATCAGCCTGGCCAATATGGTGAAACCCCATCTCTACTAAAAATACAAAAATTAGCTGGGCATGGTGACACGTGCCTGTAGTCCCAGCTACTCAGGAGGCTAAAGCAGAAGAATTGCTTGAGCCAGGAGACGGAGGTTGCAAAGAGCCGAGATCGTGCTACTGCACTCCAGCCTGGGTGACAGAACGAGACTCTGTCTCCCTAAAAAAAAAAAAAAAAAAAAAAAAATTAGGGAAGCTGATGGTGCAGCCTTCAGTCTATGGCCAAAGGCCCGAGAGCCCCTGGCAAATCACTGATGTAAGTCCAAGAGTCCAAAAGCTGAAGAACTTGGAGTCTGTTGTTCAAGGGCAGGAAGCGTCCAGCATGAAAGAAAGATGAAGGCTGAAAGACTTAGCGAGTCTGCTCATTCCATTTTCTTGTTCCTGCTTTATTCTAGCCATGCTGGCAGCTGATTAGATGGTGCCCACCCAGAATGAGGGTGGGTCGGCCTCTCCCAGTCCACCGACTCACATGTTAATATCCTTTGGCGACACTCTTACAGACACACTCAGGAACAAGACTTTACATCCTTCAATCCAGTCAAGTTGACACTCAATATTAACTATCATACCCACTTTTTTTTTTTTGATGCTGGAGTTGGGTGGCACAATCTCAGCTCACTACAACCTCTGCCTCCTGGGTTCAAGTGATTCTCCTGCCTCAGCGTCCTGAGTAACTAGGATTACAGGCATGCACCACCATGTCCGGCTAATTTTTGTAGTTTTAGGAGAGATGGGGTTGCACCATGTTGGCCAGGCTAGTCTCGAACTCCTGACCACCAAGTGATCCACCCGCCGTGGCCTCCCAAAGTGCTGGGATTACAGATGTGATCCACTGTGCCCGACCCACACCCACTTTTTAATCAGAATTTTTTTTGTTAATCAGATTTTTTTTCTTTTTGAGTTGTTTGAGCTCCTTATATATTCTGGTTATTAATCCCGTCAGATGGGATAGTTTGCAGATATTTTCTTCCATTCTGTGGATTGCCTCTTCACTTTGTTTATTGTTCCCTTCACTTTGCAGGAGCTTTTTGGCTTGATGTAATGCCATTTGTCTATTTTCACTTTGCTGTCTGTGCTTTTGAAATCTTACACGAAAAAATATTTGCCCAGACTAATGTCCTGGGGCAATTCCTCAGTGATTTCTCCTGGTAATCTCATAGTTTCAGGTCTTAGATTTTTTTTTTTTTTTTTTTTTTTTTTTTTTTTTTGAGATGGAGTCTTGATCTGTCGCCAGACTGGAGTGCAATGGCGCGGTTTCGCCTCACTGCAACCTCCACCTCCCTGGTTCGAGCAATTCTCCTGCCTCAGCTTCCCGAGTAGCTGGGATTGTTACAGATGTCTGCCACCACGCCTGGCTGATTTTTTGTATTTTTAGTAGAGACAGGGTTTTACTGTTGGTCAGGTTGGTCTCTAACTCCCGACCTCGTAATCTGCCTGCCTCGACCTCCCAAAGTGCTAGGGTTGCAGACGTGAGCCATTGCGCCCGTCCTCAGTTCTTAGATTTAAGTCTTTAATAGATTTTTGTTTAATCTGTGTGTGTGTGTGTGTGTGTGTGTGTGTGTAACGGATTCTCCCTCTGTTGCCCAGGCTGGAGTGCAGTGGAGTGTCCTTGGCTCACTGCAACTTCCACCTCCGGGATTCGAGCAACCCTCCAGGCTCAGCCTCCCCAGTGGCTGAGACTACAGATACACGCCATCACACGCAGCTAATTTTTGTATTTTTAGTAGAGATGGGGTTTCATCATATTGGCCAGACTGATTTCGAACTCCTGACCTAAGGTGATCCACCCACCTCGGCCTCCCAAAGTTACAGGCATGAGCCGCTGCGCCCAGTCCTAATTTCGGTATTTTTAGTAGAGACTGGTTTCGCCATGTTGACCAGGCTGGTCTCGAATTCCCGACCTCAAGCAATCCCACCTCAGCCTCACAAAGTGTTAGGATTACAGGCATAAGCCACCGCGCCTGGCATCTTACTCCATCTTCTTTACCTCTCCCCTGTGTCAGTTTTATTTTTCTCTTCTCTAGACACTTTCTTCCTCAAGATAGGAGTCAGAGTGGGGAAATGACCATAGTCAGAACCTATGGGAAGCACCCACCCAAAAGGAAAAGGCTTCTTGTGCCCAGGCTGCAGATCCAAAAACCCAGGAAAGGACTCTCATTGGCTCAGTCTACATTCCAGGTGGAGCATGATGATTGGTCCAGCCTGATTCGTTTGCCTATCTCTCACTAATCACCATGGTGAGGAAGGGGCACCAGAAGACGGTCAGCTCCTATCCTAAACAGGGGATAGGGTGAGGGCGATCACTCTCTGAGTTCCAGTAAACAAAGTTTCAGTTAATCGTCACATCAACTCTTTCTCCTCCTATGGCTGGAAGAGTAGAATACGGAAAGAGGTCGTCCGTCTAGATGTCAAGAGAATGGTTGGGGAGTATAGTCTCTCCAGACCAGTCAAGCTCAGGTCCCTGCATACAGCAGGCGTCCATTTAATGCTTACAGAATGAATGAATGAATACCCTTTTCCCAGAGGCTATCCTGGAACCGTCCTAATTTCACACACCATGAACGGATTAAGAATGAAGCGGTGCCAGGGGTCCCGCCCACCAGTTGAGTGCGCCTTAGGACGCCGAGACTAGACCGGGGAGGGCGGAACCTCTGGGCGTTAGGTGAGACCCCGCCACCTCGACGGGCCCAGTCAGGGGCGGGGCTTCAAAACTCCCAGCGTTTGGATTAAACCATCTTCCAGCCGTTAAAGAGGAGAGCCGAGAAAGCCTTTCTGCACCTGTCGCCAACCTTTTTACCACTTCCCAGCAACAGAAACGATGTATTTGCTTCACCGCCACGCCGTTTCCCCATTCGCCTCATTACCCCTCAAAGCCCCACGCGGCCACAGAGTCCAGACTTCCCCACCACCACCTCGCAGTGGCTCACCCCAGTTTGACGCATTGCAGGGAAGGCCGGACCAATGGGCGCCGCGCTCTCATTTCCGCCACGGGATGGTCCCAATAGCGACGCGGCTCACAGAGAGACGCATTACGCATCGCCGAGCAGTGCCCCTCCGCCGGGGAGGAAAGTGAGGTGGAACCGGGAGGCGGGGCACGCGGCGAGGGAAAGTAGTCCGACGGCGGGAGCGAGCGCGCGCGCGCCCGGCTGCAAATCCCGGCCCTGTGTGGGGCGGGGACGAGAGATCCGCGGGCCCGCCGGCGCGGAGCGGGGCGCGGAGGGATCCGTGGGAGCCGCAGTGCGGCGGCACGCGGGCCGGGCGGGGCGGGGCGGGGCGGGCCGAGTGAGGCGGGGCGCGCGCGGCGGCCGTTGAGGGACCGTTGGGGCGGGCGGCGGCGGCGGCTGCGGCGGCGCGCGTTGCGGGCAGTGAGTGTGGAGGCGCGGACGCGCGTCGGAGCTGGAACTGCTGCAGCTGCTGCCGCCGCCGGAGGAACCTTGATCCCCGTGCTCCGGACACCCCGGGCCTCGCCATGGTGAGTGAGGCTGGGGGGCCGCCGAGGCTGCGAGCTCTGAGGCGGGCTTGGCGCGGCAGGACCCCTGAGGGGGCGACGGAGCCCAGAGTGGGGGGCGGCCGGGCCGGCGAGAGCCTCGGCACCCCTTTCTAGCCCCGTTGTCTGGGCCGTTGAACCCCGAACGGGACGTCTGGATCCCCAAAGGTTTCCAGAAGCGACTTTAGCACCATATGGGATATTTAAGTCCCCACATGGGTGTCTGAGCCCCCAAAGGGGATATTTGAACCCCGAATGGAGGATCAGAACCCTCAAAGGGAACCCCTCAAAAGGATTTTGGACCCTGGATGGGGCGATAGGTCTCAGAATGAAGGTGTTTGGACCCCAGGGGACGGAATAAGAAAGATGGGCTAGGGAGGGGAGCTGTTTAGGCCCGGATGGAGGCGTTTGGTCCTGAGAGGATGCGGGGAACCGGGGACGAAGGGAGGCTGGGCTGCCCCTGGATGGGGTGGCGGAGAGTAGCTGGGCCTGGGCGGGGAGGGGCGGCCCCTGGGCTCCTGGGAGGCAAAGGAGAGGGTCAGGGATGGGCGGTCACTTCTACAGATGAGACTCCCGAGGGTGGGGGAGGGTGGTCTCCAAAGCCCAGCACTGCAGAGGAGGAGGAGGGTGAGGTGCAAGTTTACAGGAGGAAGACCCTGGGGTGGGTGGCAGCAGAGGTTAGAAGATGCTCTTGAAGGCTTCCGGGACGGAGAAGGATCGGGGTCGTGGAGGTGGTGAAAAGGGATAGTGAGAGCGGGGCTTGCCAGTGGTCGGGGCCAGGGACCCTTGGGGTAAATTTGGAGGTAGCTAGGAAAGGTTCCGAGGTTACTCGTGGGTTAAGACTGTTGGACTAGAAAGGATTTTTTTAACGGGCTAGGAGTGTTGTGTTTGGGTCCACGAGAAGATGGGTTTCCAAGGTGAGGGGTTGGGGAGGACTTGGGGTTGAGTGGCTGGGAGGTGAAGTGGAAGGAGAAAATGAATGGCAGCGAGGGTGGGCCTAGGTTTGGGGGTGGGTGTGGGTAACACCCTGCCAGTCTCCAGGGACAGGCCAGGACAAAGACGGCTCAGTGCGGATTGGGAGTGGGCTGCAGGGACCGGAGGAAGCTATCCCCCTTCCCCAGGAAGAACCCGGCTGGGTGGAAGGCACTGGGCAGTAGGAGCAGGTGGGCGGAGCTGTTCAGGCCCCTATTGCGCACTGAAGCCTCATGAAATGGGGATGGGAGATCAAAGTTTGGGGTGCCTCAAATAAGCCAGCTTTTTCAAGCCTAGAAGCCTCACCCCCTCGCTGTCCGTTTCAGGCCAAGAGCGCTGCCTTTTCCCAACAGGAGCGCCGGTTTTCTCATGATCCCCAGCCCCACACACCATGCTGCACCTCCTCACTTGTGCCAAATGACAGTGCAGTACAGTGTGGCGTCAGTGACAATCAGATGCCTATTCCTGTGCCCTCGGGGTGGGGGCTGCAGAGCTTGATCAGAGATTGCCTCTGGGGGGACCCCTTGATCGGCCCAAGGGCCACTTGTTCCATTCAGGACCCTCACTGAGTGCGTCTGTTAATTCACAGCTAGGGCTTTGAGAGAAAACCAGCAGACTAGTTCTTTCCTACTCCCTGCCACCCACAACACCCACCGCCCCCCCAGGCTGAGCCTGGGAACCAACCGTGCACAGCCATCCTCCCTGGCAAGGCTGGGGAGAACAGGCAGCCGCTGCCGTGTATCAGATCTCATACTTGCTGACACAGACCTGATGGCTCCTCTTGCCGCTACCCCATTTTCCCCCAGCAGAACCTGGCTAAAGGGGCCCTGAAGCGCTAGCGGGCTGACTACACCCAGAATAGGACGAGAGCTTTGGCCAGGACTACTTTCTCTTTCCCTTTGTAATCAGCAAGGTAGAGGTGGGACAAGTCACTGTTAACTGGCCTTGGACTTTGGCCTGAGCTCTGTGGCTCCTCCTTGGCCCCGGTGAGGGGCCCTGGCCTTGGTTTCTGATCTCATCTAACACTGCTCTCTGGCATTGGCTGGGGGCTGGGGCAAGGCAGAGAAATCATACCCTCTTCCCTCCCCCACCTCATGCTTTTTTTTTTTCTTGTCAGCCCCTTGCTGGAGCCTAAGATGAGGGATAAGGAAGCAGGAGACCGTCTGAGTTATTTTGGAAACAGTTTTTGTTGAAAGCTTAGTCTTCAGGTCTGGAAAGGGAAGAAACATTGGGCAAGGATCAATGATCTCTTCTTAGGTGATTGGTTTTCTGGGCAGCAACCTTGCTTGAGATCTGTAGCTCGGAGCTGGGACCTTCCCTGCTTGAAGCAGGGAAGTGGGTCTCCTACATGGGAGGGAGAGTGTGTGACAGGCCCTCCATGCAGAGCCACGCCTATTTGCAGCAACCCAGTGACAGAACTGAACATGGCAGTGCCTCATCTGCAGCTTCCAGCTTTTTGGGGACTGGCAAACGCTGGCCTTCAGAGCCGCTCAGGGCAGTCTGCAGCCTGTCAGCCTCCTCGCCCCCACCCCCAGCCCCTTACAGTGCTGCCCAGAGGTCAGGAGAGCTGGACTTCTTGCAGGGCGGAGCAGTGGGGTGGGAAGGCCCTGATCAGGCTCGCTTTTTCCATTCTAGGCCAGGGGAAAGAATGAAAAGCAGATGGGATGGCAGCCGCCTCCCCACACTGCTGCCTTCCTCTCTGTTCCTCCCCTGCCCCTCCCCAGGCATTGCCTGGCCTCAGTAACCAGAAGCCCATCCTCCCTTCTCACTTTCCCCAAGCCTCTTCCTCAGGTGTCAGGACCTAAGGGATGGCCCCAGGCTGCTTTGCCCCTGATGGGAGGTGGGGGGCAGGTGGAGCAAGGGGCTCATGGGCCTGGGGCAGCCAGGTTGGCGTTTAAGAGCCCAACCACGCTGTCTTTTTTTAAAGGCAATGCAGAAGAATCTTCATTTGGCCTCCTCACCTCCCCTTTAGACTTTGGACTTTCCCAGAATGTGCATGTGTGCCGTTTTCCTTCTCTACCTTCCTCTTTCCCCCTCTCTCAGCCCTCTCCCCTCTGCGATCAACACTTTGATTACCCCTCCCTTTCTGCCTATTTGGGGCTTGGCCTCAAGTTCCTCTTCCTTTAGTTTTTGTTTTTGGAGTTTTTTTCTAACTTTTTTAGATCAGTGATTGTTAATATTTGGGACAGAGGTGGGGGTGGGGGAGGCAGCGGTGGTTTGTTCTTAGCCTCTGGAACCTCTCCGCAGAATACTGCAAATTCACATAATAGTTTGCTTCCGTTTCTGAGGCTCTCAGACTCAAGACTAAAACCTGCTGTGGTCTTGGAGCCCCTTTCCCTTACTGGGAAAGGAAGACCCACCGTGGTCCCGGGATAAGAGTGCCTTTTTCACAGCATCAACAAAAAGCAGGGAAAATTTGTCTTTTGGCTGTTAAAGCTAAATGTTGGGATTGATCCTCCCCCACCCCATGGTCTAGCTCCTGCCCCATAGGATCGCTATGCCTGGCTGATGCCCAGCACACCAGTGCAGGAGAAGCCAGTCCCTGCATCTCCTCCCCACCCCTAAACCCCGCATACAGCAAGGGCTGCCTGGCACCGACTGGCCGGTCCCCAGAGTGGCCAAGCCAGAAAGGGTTAAGAACTGCAGTGCAAGCCGACTTCAGTCATCTGCTGCTGCTGCCCGCTGCAGTCCTCTCCCTGATGTTTGTCCCTCCTGCCCAAAAGAAACAGAACCGAATGATGCCCTGTGCCCCTACTGTGCACAGGGGGGTGGAGCGGCTACCTCCAGCCTGACCAGGGTTCTTCCAGGCGCTCAAGCAACTTAGGGCTGCCAGTTAGGAGAATTTTTGCCACCTGGATCAACTCTGCCTGAGCCAAGCGCCTCCAAATAGGTGACACAGAAACTAGCCGAGATAGCCCCTGACATCATCCCTCTGCCCTACCCAAGGACTGGCCTGCTTCAGTTTGGAGCCTTCTAGAGCTTCTTGATGAGGCCTCCAGGGCAACCACTCCCTTCACTCAGCCTCTGGGGCTCCCACTGGTGAGATATAAACCTGTGCCATGCCAGTGCTGCTGGTTTGGGGCTGGGGCAGGCATTTCACCTGCCCCTGTGGCTCCCACATGCTGAGTTGAGATTGGAAGCCCATGGGTCTGGGAAGCTTCACTGGGCCCTGCATCCAGCAGGCCTGAGTGTCCAGCCCACCCTGGAACCCAGCTTTCTGAATCACCAGACTTTATCATCAGGCCCTGGTTCTGCCTCAGACCCTGACTCTGGCGTGCTCCTCCCTGGCTGGGCAGGAATGCCATGTGGAACTGGCCTTACCAGGGCCTGGGGCCTGGGCTAAGTGAGGAAGATGCATCCTTGCTGTCCAGCCTGGTGACTGACTTTCCCCTTCTTGCTTTTCCAGGCTGACCAGCTGACTGAGGAGCAGATCGCAGGTGAGTGTTACCCTGTCCCCCTCATCTTTGCTCAGGAAAGCCTCCACATCCCCAGCCAAATCTTGGCCACTGAGGAGTGACATCTGATAGGTGAACCTGTGTATCCCTTGTGTCACCTAACACTATGCCTTGTGCCTAGAATGCTGATAAATGTGTGTAAGAGCACACCAGTGCCCTGATGACACCAAGCCCCATGGCCCTGAGACAGGCCTTTACCAAACACCAAAGGCTGTCTTCCTCTCCTGGGCCTGGGTCGTCTAGGGGCTTGATATTGGTGGCTACAGGACGAACCCAGCT